CTCTTGACATCTGTAACCGTTAAGGTTTCCTCTACATGGTGTAGAACAGTTTGTACCATATGCCCCAAAGCATTCTGAAGAAATTGAACATACATTTTAACTTCACTTAAGGAACGAAATAAATGTCTCATATTTACGTTAAAACATAACTAATTGTAAAGTAGATTCTTTAATATAGATTTTTTGCTTGAACAAAAGTCATGATTCATGATACCTACCGATACAACTCCGATTAAACCAATAGTCACCAGAACAACAATTTTTGTAAGACCAGTATGAAGAGGTTTACATATGCATTTTTAAAGAAACGTGTTCATGTTTTATCTATTCATAGGAACTAATTGGATCTTGCGAACATTCAAACTGTGAAGTAAACAAAAATGTAAAAAAGAGAATCGTTCACTTCCCACAAGTGTGCATTGGCTCGTATGTATTCAATTAAAGATTAAAATATATTAATGTTTTTTTATAAATAAAAAATACCAGATTTTCTGGTTATATCTAGATATTACATATATTCTTTAATATAGATTTTTTCCTTGAACAAAAGTCATGATTCATGATACCTACCGATACAACTCCGATTAAACCAAAAGTAACCAGAACAACAATGTTTGACACCACTGAATAGAAAGGAATTCGAATAAATTATCTGTAGATAACTTAAGTTTAAAAATTCAAGTGATTGAAAATATTTTAGCATGTATACACTGTAACAATTTTCAATAAGAAAAGAATAGAGAGAGAGAGAGAGAGAGAGAGAGAGAGAGAGAGAGAGAGAGAGAGAGAGAGAGAGAGAGACAAACTGTTCTACACCATGTAGAGGAAACCTTAACGGTTACAGATGTCAAGAGACATGCCAATGCACAACTGACCAAATTTGCGATGAATACTTAGGATGTCAGCATTGTACAGGTAACTGCTTCCTTTACAATTGCCTTTTTTACAAGTCCACGCTCTTCTTTTATAGTAAATAACCAAATAATAAGTTGACACAATATGATAAAATATATAATAGGTGGAGTTTTTTTTAAACAAACAATTTTTAAAGCAAAAAATATCATCTTTTTTTTTATTTCTTGATACTTACACTATTCTGTTTCTAACTTCTAAATTTTTTATAATACCTCTATTATTGTTCAACTATTAAGGCAGGTATAACGAGTTAAATCAGATATGTTCTTGAATAAGAAATGTCAGCTCAATTCGTTAGTGAAAATGATAATATCCTTTCTGTAACTGATTAAAGCAGTTTTTTTTTTGCTTTTTTTTGTTTTTTGTTTTTTTTTTTGCTTTGTTTTTTTTGTGTTTGTTTGTTTGATGGTTTTTTTTTAATCACTAAAAGCATATAACCTACCTATGACGAACTGAAACAATATGTGTGCGATGAAGTAGATTGCTGTGACTCTCAACTAGGCTAATGTAACCCCCACATTATAGTAACATGTACATGTATATGTTGTTTGTGTCTCAAGAAACGTTCCATGCCACATTTAGCAAACGTACAGACATATATGTACATGTATTATTTGTTGTAAGCAAATCTGTTGCACAAATGATCATATACTATTTATTTTGGAATACGTTGTCAACAATTTACGATTTTTTTTGTATATTGATTTTCACATAAAATCCATATAAAAATATGCATACAACTTGCTTTGCTATGTTTATGAAATGTTTTTAACTTATAAAACGATTTTTTTTTCAGATATTATGAACATCATTAAAAAGATATAGAAATGAGTATCATGTTAATCAAAATTGATATCGCATATGATTGATATTTTTGTTTTCTCTCAGTGACTCCTTTGTTGTATATTTCATAGCCTTTATGTCCTGATTACATTTTTTCATAATTTTTTAGAACCTATGTCGATAAACATTTTGTCACAGGACTAACTTTCGATAGTGATTATTTGTGATTCAAATAATACGCTGAATGAGCCTTTTGATTGGTTAATCTGGATCTTGAATCTCGAAACTCGAATTTCGAATCTCGAATTTTGAATCTCGTATTTCGAAACTTGAATCTCGAATGAGCCTTCTGGGCTTTCGTAATTATAAGTATGAAAGTTGTTCTTGACTGTGGCCACACTTAATTTTGGGAAATTCTGTAGGAAAATCGGCATTTTTGAACGTTTTTATGAAACCGTCGCATCTTCAAACCATCGCACGTGCCTAACAGCGCATTAAATGACAAAATGAGTTACGCAAGGAAAAGAAGTATGTTGTCCTCTATAATTAACGTACAAGTTGCTGTCCTTTAAAACAGGACTGCAATACGTGGACCATATGCATGTTTTTCTAATCAAAATTTAATTTTAAAAAATTCTAGGTGTATAGTGAATATTCATGTAGGCTTGTTCACATTTTCTACAATGATCTGCCTACTTATGACTGATTGTAGACTCAAAGCAAAGTTGTTAAATTTTATTTCCGATTAGCGACCTTTATAGTTTTGTCAGTTTAAAAAATCGGGCTATTTTGATACATGTTACCCATAATGGCTGGGACTTGACAACACCTGTTCTGGATTTATACAAAAGAAATCTATCATGAGAAAATAGAGATCTGATGGTTCGCGTGTAGCACAGCTTTGTGGTACACAGATTAATTTTTTTGTCGGAGACCCCCCCCCCCAACACACACACATTAAAAGCCATTGCTACAGACCTCTATCAAACGGTAATTTGGATTGCTGAAATATTAAATCATTTTGCGAGCCTTGATGCGCAAAACTAATGCCAGTGAAAACTTGTTCTATCTTTTAAAAGCTAGAACTAGTCGTTGAATGACGTTTTTCATTCTAGGTAAGTTACATGTATCTTCAAGTTCTTCCTACTTTTAAAATGCTTGTAACATAGAATCAATGTTTAGTTTGTATATAAAAGTATATGTATAAGAGAAATTCGGATCTGCCAATGAATATGTAAATGCGATATGCGGATTTAAAAGCGCAATTAGAATCGGGCGAATTATTCTACCGGCAAGTTACTCTCAAGCATTCTCGCGCATGCGTAGCCTGTCGTTTGCCAATGGCATCCGGTTTAACCTCGCTTATATACTTGCTGCGTGGACCCTGAGGGTCATGAATAGAAACTCTATTTTTGTGAAAAACATAGGGCAAAATATGATGGTTCGTTGCTTTAGCTCTTTCAGAAAAAGAATAGATTGTATTATATCATTTCATAAACGTTTATAAAAAAATATTTTATAAAAATATACAGTTTTAAAACTTTTCATGCCTCAACTTCTTAGAAATTGTTTGTCGAAAACTGTCTCTAAAATACAATCACATTTTAAAACATGCAAGCTTACTCTATTATTCCACAGAGGTTGCTAATGGGTTGTTCACAAACATCCTCTTGTAATAGTAAAAGGAAAATAAAAATACCACTGAAAAACGTTTTAATTCTTACATGTACATGTATAAAATGTGTTATCGGATGGTGCTTAATATATTCATATCTCAAACTTTTATTTTACTTCCCTTATACTGGAGCACTGAATGCCAATTTCCCTAATATGAGTGGATGTACTTTGTAAGTTACCGAGGATTATTGATTCAAAAACCTGCTAAAATCCTGAACGATTTTTTTGTGGATTTTACAGAGGACCGTATTTTGAGGCACTATGTAAGTTTCTTGATTTAGGTATAGAAATTTCATTTATTATTTTTAATGAAAGTCAGTGGCTCACGTGTGTTAAATCTCATTTGAATTTTTCTGATTGCATTTTTTCGGTCATTTGATTGTCGGTCTCTCTGTTATTAAACCTACCACATATTAGACCTTCTAAACCACTTGACTTTTTTTTTAGACAAAATGACCACACATTTTATTCAAGGTAATTCAATTGACGGATTGCGATTCTTTTCAAAGGAAAATGATTAAGAATTAAAGGAAATGGTAACTTCTTTAAAAAATCCTCCTTTTAACAATTATTGAGGAAATAATTGAAAAAATTTGTGAAGCCTTCATTAAATAGAGTTGATCCAAGTTTGTTCAAATCATGACCTCTGGGGGTTAAAGTAATACCACAATTGGGAATAAAAGTTTTACCTAGAAAATTTTTGGAAGAAAATAATCATAATCGAAACAACACCCAAATCTATCATTAGCAATTTTAATATTGAAGCATCCACAGGCAATGTATACTCAAGTTTGCTCAAATATGATAACTATTATGAAGAATATGAAGAAGATTTAAGACTAGCTTTGCCCCTGTTATACGAAGTAGTAGTGGATTTTGTATTAGAGCGTGGCTCGACTGATCATAGATACAAAATCATAAATTCTTTTCAAATCTTGTTCTCCTAGCAGTCTCGTTTACAGACTTCATTTCAAGGGCATTATGGTCAATACAATGGTCTGTTAAACAAATTCACTTTAGGACTGAGTCAATTGCTGGTTGAAGATGTTCATATTAAGTCTTAGTTCATCATTTACACACTGAATTAACAATGATTTTTTGCTTTATTTCCCGATCATGACAAGGAACACACAGCGGTGTGACCGGTCGGCAGGGGATGCTCACTCCTCCATTGCATCTGAGTCTATTTCTGATGTTTTGTTTGCTCTGCTCTTTTTTATAATTTTTTTATGGGTTTTGAGCTTGAATACTGTTTGTTTTATTCTACTTCCATAAATTTCATTAGTACTCAATATAAGGTTGACAAAATTATTTGTCTGTAGTTTCTCCCATATGTCCCCATCCTCCTGTGTACTAAAAAAAGTTCTAGAGGTTATTGGTTGGCATATCTCATCTCCAGCAACAATATGGTTCACGTTTTTCCATTTCACGGTCGTAACAAAGATATTATCAATAACTTAAAAAATCGATTTATGTCATACATTTAACTGTATTCTTTTAATCTTTTGATGGCCCCTTTAATATATAAAATGCATTTTTCTTCTTTTTAATAAATCATTCAGAACGTATTGATCTGGTGATTATCATCCTCAAATGTATCAAGAATGTGGGTTTTTCTAGTGGAACACTCTTCAATGAAAACTTTAAAGAATTACTTTCTTCTGGTCATTTTGCTTAGTCTTGCTAATGCATCGCTTAAAAACGGCTACGATAATCTGAAATGGGGTAAGCGACTTATTGGTAAACTACTCACCACTATAGCACAGGCCAGTGTTTTGGATTGTGTAGAAGAATGCTTAACTCGACCAGGGTGTTGGTCATTCAACTACAGACGGGCAGCTATATTTTGTGAACTGAACTATGAAAGTCACAAAACTTTGCATACAAATCTTACAGAACAAGAGGGATGGATATTTAGCCGAAAGGAAACATGGCCTTTGGTGAGTGTCAAAATATTTTTAAGTATACAGTATATTGTTACAACTTTTATTTGCGTGCTAGAAATATCCTCCATTTTCACGACTGCATTAGTCTTGCGAATATTTTATTTTGCTTTGTATTTTAGCGTAAAAATTTTATAGTCGCGAAATTTAATCGTTGCATATTAATTTCAAACTGACGAATCGCGAATAAAAGATGATGCGAATAAAACTTGGTCTACAGTATAACCATAAATGTGTATCAATGATCATTTTGGTAAAAATTAATCATTAATGTCACTATATCTTGTTTGGATGAAGCATTTAGCGAGTAATTTTGCCCTGTTATTGGCAGACTTTTTCTTTTCATATGAAATAGAAATTTATTCAATAACTGTAGATTCCTAATTATACGCGAGGAATTAATTTCCGCGTAATTTCGTGAGAATCGTCACTAAATATTACTTCCTTTTATTTCTATGTGCTGCAATCTATGTAAACTCTGTTGATGAACCGTTCAATCGCGAATTATATTTCTCTTGATTTGACGTTAAAGACCCAGTTCGCGATAAAAAGTACTCGCGAAAAATAAGGAATCTACAGTACTACTTAATGAAAGGAAGTAGCTTGCTATGGTCCTCAATTCAATATTTAGATAAATTCACATTGTATATCTTTGACTCATAATCAGGACTTCATTTTTTTCACTTTGTTCGAAAATACATTCAACAACTTATCATTTTCACATATTTTGACTGACCCGTTTCCCACCAAGATGTTCAAGTACACAAATCATACCTCATACTCTACTTATGAATACAAGTGTGTGACCACTGTTCATCATCTTTCCCTTTTTACACTATGATATAAATTAATCGACTCTGTACAATCGTCTAATTTTTTCTCATCTACCCTTAACTGTTGTAATGATATCTCAACGAATATCATTTATATGTTCATTAATTCATAATTCAGTATATGAAGAGGTTTACATATGCATTTTTAAAGAAATGTGTTCATGTTTTTATCTATTCATAGAAACTAATTGGATCTTGCGAACATTCAAACTGTGAAGTAAATGAAAAATGTAAAAGAGAATCGTTCACTTCCCATAAGTGTGCATTGGCTCGTATGTATTCAATTAAAGATTAAGATATATTAATGTTTTTTTTATGAATAAAAAATACCCGATTTTCTGGTTATATTTAGATATTACATTTATATTTCAATTAGCATTTCTAACTGCATCTAACCTTTATTTCCTTGGCTGTATGGTTTTAAAATCATTTGAAGATCTTTAATGAATACCCAATACAGGATGTCCTTTTGAATAATATTTTGGTCTAGTTGTTAAATGTAACATCATATTTGAATATTTTTGCCCATTTCAGACTGCCATCTTCTAAATTTAAGTCTTGCAAACAACATCAAACCATTTCAATCTGAAAAGTCGGTGGATTTTGGTAGCAGCCATATGTTGAATTGTGTTGAGGGTTATACGAAAATAGGAGACGGCGTCGTAAAATGTTTGAGGAATGGGTTATGGAGTGACGTCAACATTAATTGTTACAGTTAGTGTTAAACCTGTCTAAGTATACTGTTAATTTTTCAAATTAAGCAAATGTGACATTTAAAAATCAGATATGGGTTTGAAATACTTTACAAATCTCAAAAGTTTTTTTCCTATGGATTTGTTAAATATTTTTAAAATATCATTACAATGACCATATTCTTTACAATTTTTTGTTGATTGATATTTCATATTATAGAACTTTCATGAACAGATATACAAATGCAAATTGAAAATGTGCACATCGGCTTTAAAGTTCAGAGAATTGTACTGCATATGTCTGAGTTAAAATTATCGATAACTTTGGAATATTAATGGTTAACTATGCACGAAAAATCAAATGAAAGAATAAGGTACAATTATAAAACAGATAAAAGATAATTGACGATTTTCTTTCCGAAAATACTAAAAAATTTACTAAGCAATATAGCTTTTTTGTTATATAGGACAAATTAGCGGTATTTATTCCCAATGAGGCTTTTAGTATCAATGTATTGTTCCAAATAGCATCGACCGATCCATTACCCTCGATAAACCAATAAAAGTCGTGCTTACCTTTTAATCAATATTTTATTCAGTTGTTTGATGTTAAGGGAAATTCAGCGAATTTATTCTGTATCGCCTAACAAAACCATTTTACATAAAAACAACATAAGTAATATTTTTCCCAAGGTCACATATCATCTGTAACAATTATGCAATGATATATAAGGTAAAAAAAAGGTATTATAAACTTAGGTATCAAAGTTCTAATAAAAGGTAAAAAATGACAACAAATTTAGTTTACATTGTTTTATTTTAAAGAACAATTTTAAATTATTTCACCAGAAACTCCAATAATGTTTCGAAATTCCCATTTGTACAAATTGTGCTCTATTATACATTTTGCATACCTTATGAAAATTTAGTATTCACATGAAGTGGAATTTATCAAAAACCTATTTAGGCGAAGAAGAGATTTAGAACACTTGCTGTAGCCTTCAAATTGACATATAGAAATATCGATGACGTTTTTCAATTAACAATAATTATATCCATTTATATGTTGAATCAACTTGTGAACTTAAAATAAAAGATAACATAGAATCTGAAATATCTGTTTCATATCCAGATTTTTTTCCCCTAGAACAGAAAGTAAATGGTAACCTTACAAAAAAAAAATTATGGTAAACGTGATGGCTTTGACATGTTTAACTTTTGTGTTGTCAATTTTCCTTACTCTTGTAGCAATTTACCTTTAGCATCCGCATATGCGGTTTAATGTTTCCTTTTGATTAAATACACAAGAGCATGTTTTATGTACAATCAATTTTTAACCGAGCAACAAGCTGGTATAACGAGGTTATCAACAGTCTTGTATGAAGTCATCATGTCTATGGTGGACATAATATACATGTACTAACAGCTAAAAAAAATCTAAAATTACATGTACGTCAAATGACGACAGATCTTTTTAAATATTTACAGTTTTAGTCGTTGGCTTTTGTTTTCACTCAATAAATCTTACGGATTTTTACATTTGTCTTGTTTGAATTTCAAAAATTTTCAAAAATACCATAAATGATTATAAAATACTTTATTATTCTAGCATAAGTCATTTATCAATAATAAAATATTATTTATACCAAAATATAAATTATATAAATCAAACATTTTAAGTCACTGACTGTGGTCTAATCCCAATCTCGGAAGGCAAAGAGGTGACTGACATGATGAAGATAGACGACTCGAGATTTCAAATAACATGTATCAACACAGAAGGATCAGTTTGGACGGTATTTTTTTCTGTCTTTAATATTGTTTTTTTTTAATTTATATTTTGTAAATTGAATAGCAAATTGTGACTTCTGTTGTAATGTAGCAAATTATGTCATATTAATGCTACATCTGTCATTGACAAGTTTTTCATAAAAAGAATGAAATCATTTCTGAGTCTTTTCTTAATAACATAGAAACCTCGTTGGGTTCTCGAAGAGAGGAAGGAGAAAGTTGTGAAGATTCGTATTTATTGAATTTGTACCATCTAAAGCAATAATAAGAGTTAAATAGATACTAAAAATTTACATATACATATATATTTTAACGAACAAACCGGTCACGGTAGCCTAGTTGTACAGCATTCGCTTCCTGATCGGGAGGCCCGCGTTCGATTCTCGTTCGCGGCGTCGCGTCATACCTGAAATGTAAACATAGGTAGAGACTGCTACTTCGCCAAGGGCTCGGCACTAGAAGAGAAAGCCACGCATCTTTAGAATATGACTTTGAAACCGTAGTTCCCGTGTCTTGGTATGCGTTGGCATGATAAAGAACCCTCATTGCTAAATGGCCCTGAGTGCCGAGTATAGGTCTACATTTGAAGCCCTTCACCGACATACGGTGACGTTTCCATATGAGTGAAAAATTCTCGATAGGGACGTAAAACAACATACAATCAATCAATCAAACGAACAAAACAAGCTGGTTTAACTGAAAGTAAACTTTCTTTGTTAATTATTGAAATTTCATTGAGGTCGTTTCTGAATTGTAATACTATGTAGAAAATAATTTTCATTAATTTTTGGTATAATAAAGTTTTTTTCCTAGGAAAGTACTACATCCGAACGAACAAATTTTCAAAATTAACTTAAAACTAAATTTTATTAACTGTGTTAATCATTAACATTTTAATGAGGTAGTTGTTGAATGCTGATAATACCGGTAACTTAAGTATAATGTTTATCGTTGTTTGTTAGAATAATCTTTTTAGTAGTACTTTGCTGGGAAAAATACTGCTGACATCTTTATCCATAACTGATTTCTATGCAATTCGTATACTGAATTATGTTACATGTAGCTATTGTACCACATGTACTTCATGAAACCCTTACGTCTTTTGAAAGATAAAGATATAGCTCATTCCCAAGATGTCCAGATGCATATAATCGTAAAACTTTTGTCAAGATCAATAATCAGTATTGTGGTACATACATGTTTATAATAGGCCTATAAACCTGTATTCAAAAATTCTTATAAAATTCGTTTACACTAAGAGACAATGGTAGGTGTTGAGGCCCAGGTGTAAGTTCAAGAAATAAAGTATTTGATGTATACTGTATGAGAAATATTATGTACACTTTCTTAAAAAGATAATGACAACTTGGAATATTTACACTTTATTTACACTTTCTGTATAGATGATACAAAGGAGAGTTGACGGTTCTGTGAATTTCTACAGAAAATGGACTGATTATAAAAACGGGTTTGGTGACCTTAAGTCAGAGTTCTGGATCGGTAAGTTAAAGTTATTACCCTCCTTTGAAATGACATACTGGGATTTCACAGCTTAATCGGTATAAATTAAAAAAATAATTTAAACAATATATATTCAACTGCATTTATTCAATAGAAATAAAATTATTTTATATTTCATTCGCGATTCATAACAATCTTACAAATGGATTTTCTCACTTTTAATGCCATAAAGAGAATATTAAGTGAAGCTTTGTAAATATCTACTAATTTTGTTTTACAGCATGTGAAAGGTATTTCGAAAACGCAAGAAACGTTTAGAAAGATAGTTTCTGAAAAAAGCATTAAGAAATTTGAAATTTTTTAAGAGGACGATAAGGAAACAAATATAAAATTATTCAATGAATTTTGAAATCGTTTGTACAGCGTCTAAAAATGATTTATAAAAAGGAGATAAGATATTGCTTAACTCAACCATTCCCAAAAGAAATTTCCTTAACAAAAGCACATTTTAATGAATGCTGTAAAATATTTCTTAGGACTCGACATCATTCATCTGCTGGTCATGAATGGCTTCACAGTTCTACGTGTAGAATTAGAAGATGGAGAAGAGTCTGTCTATGCAGAGTATAATGGTTTCTATGTAGCTGGAGAGGATGACAATTATCGGATCCATGTTTCTGGATACAGTGGAACAGCAGGTATGTGTTATGTGACAACCAGACACAATCCGATACATGTACCAGAGTAAATTTTAAAATCTGTCACTGACACAACCCAAAGCCGAAGCAAATCAAAATCACTTACCCAGGAGCGACTTTTAGTTGGCTAGGGAGCATTTTAATATATGGGTCAGAATGCGTAACTTCGAGGTGAGCTCTAGATTTCGGCCTGGTATAGCAGAACCAGTATTTGCTTTCACTAAAGCGTGAAAGGAACCGATTAATCCCAACGCTTGTAAGTCCGTTTTTATCGAATATTTGTATCTGGACATAAATCAAACACAAGGAGGAATATGAAAGAGTAAATCTGAAATATAAAAATGACAGAAAACACAAATAAATACCTTTTTGTTTACAATTTTTATTAATTCGTTTTTGAATTCACTAACCAAATCTGCAAATGTACATGAAATATGGATATAACGCGCTGAAATCAAGCTCAAAAGTCCATGAAACAAATCAGATGCAATAATGTTGCAAGCATCCCCTCTCGAGTGGTTCCACCAAATATGTTTGCTGTGTGCTATATTATAGCAAATGGAAAAATCCTATGGCAATTACGTGTGTTAATGATACTCTAACAGTTACTTTGAAAAAAAAAATGAGAAGACTGAAATGACTCGCATTAATCTAAGGTGATTAAACCTGATAAGAAATGCACCAACTGCAAACTTCTGCTTACTCCTGTATGGCATTTGATCTCGCCTCTGATATTAAAGAATTCTACGTTTGTTCTGTTCTTCTTTTAAAAGTTTATTTTGAAATATATTTTTCTGTCTGTAGGTGATGGTATTTCATGCGAAATTGATTTTTGTAACAATGATGCACAATTTTCAACATATGATAAGGATAATGACAACTCAGTTTCACTTAATAATGCTGAGACATGGAGAGGAGCGTGGTGGTATAATCATGGAGAGTATGGTAACAACAATCATGGCGAAGGCATAAACTGGTATCCATTCAAGGGCCATAGACACTCTTTAACAGGCGCCAGCATGATGATTCGTCGACCTTAATTTATGCCTGTCAATATAAATACCGAAATACGAAGTACAGACTGTGCATGGCGGCACATAGTTATTAAACTAAACGCGGGAACGAACTCGACCTGCACACTACCCCAATAGTTTTAAAACGACATATGTGTCTTTTATACATTTCCTCTTTTTAAATTATTTGTCAATGTATCAGACAGTAAGAACAATAGTTAAAACAATACCTGATGTGAAAATTCTGTACGTCTAATTAGTTTCAGGGGAGATTAGGTGTTTACTTTCCTTCAACATTTGATTAGTATCTTAAGTATCTAAAGCGATAAAAGACTACGAGTATAGTTCCTTGTTTCGCATTTTGAAAATTAGGAAGTTTTGAAACTTACATGTACAGACATTGAGCAGGGTACTCTATGAACTGTTAAATGTTGCGGTCTCGTTGCCGCACACAGATTAATCTTCAGCACCACAGTTCTGCAAGAGTAAAAACATAAGCACCACACTTAAGATTGTCATAATCAGCTGGAAGAAAGATGTAAATGGTATTAGATTCTAATGCTTAAAGCATTGCAACTATCATCTAAATTTCAAAAACATGCAATCTATAATTTGTAAAGATTGTGAAATAGAAAAAAATTATATTATATAATATCAGATCTGTTTTTATAAACATATGAATAATTAAATCAAATTGAATCTTTAAAATAAGGGACGGATCGTTTAGTGATCATTTACTGACTTAATTTTTTATTTGATATATGTTGTACAATTCTTCCCAGAGTTCCTCTCAGAGATACATATACATTTAACTTCTGTTTGACCTGAGATCTAGTAGAAATGACTCTTTCTACGCTATTGATTAATTGATTAAAAGCATTGTGGAATTGCAAAATGAATTATTGTTTATAGGAAACTTTCTAAACTCACAGTTTCGATTTGTATATTTTTTTCAATTTCACCGTAATGTCTGTTTTAAACAAAACAAAACAAAAATTAGCGGGATGAAGCACCCATTTAGCAAATTTTATACATTATATTATAAAGTGCTTTTAACTATTTAAGGAATGACTCTAATTCTTGGCAAAATTAGTTCAGTTTAACCTCGTTTATATCAGTTTACGGATTGTGAAACAGCGTAATCTGACCCAAACCAGCTTGTACTCGAATACTTTGGCTAAGAATTAGAGTCTGTCCATATTATTTGATTTTAAAACCAATAAACAACTGGTGGTATAAAATTTCGTTGCTTTTTATTAGTTCAAATTTGCCGCTCAATAATATAACCTTAGTAACGTAAGTGATGGGAAGCAAGGGGAGGTAAAAACTGATGCATAGGCCGAGCAGACATGTAGTTTGTTTACAAAATCTTATGTTTGAAAAGAAGAAAACATTGGTTATGACTTTCAACTTGACATTTAGAAATATCGACGACGTTTTTTTCAATTAACAGTGGTAATTTCCATTATTGTTTCGATCTGATAAATCCTGGTGAGCTTGAGATAAAATATACCACAGTCTGACACATCTGTTTCATATTTAATTTGGATCATTTACTCGAAAAACCGTTCTATGATAAACGTGATGACTTTCACTTTTCAATCGTTAACTTCCCTTACTCATGCAGCAATATGCATGTATCTTTACCATCTTCATACGGAGTATATATATCAGCGTTGATTCGTTGCGCAAGAGGATGCGTTTGCAATTTCTAACACGAGGTAAGTTATTGACAAACAAGATGAGGAAAAACAATATCAGCAGTCTCGTTTGAAATCATCATTTCGTAGGTTCTATGGTCTATAAAATGAGCTTGTCAGCAAGTACGATTTATCATTGAATCAAATGCTGACTGTGGTTTTTCATACTAAATGTTAGTGTATTATTTACTGAATTGACGAGAGAGTTTTCCGCTATTTCCCGATCATGGCAATTAAGAAGCACACGTTGAGTGTGACCGGTCGCGATCGACAGGATGTGCTTACGCCAGCTGCATCCCACCTCTAATGTTCTGGAGGTCCTTGTTTGCTCTAATCTAATTTTGTATTGATTAATATATTTCTTACCTTGAATATACTGTTTGTTACATATATCTTGATATTTTTCATTACATGTGGTAAGATCGAGCTACTGATTGAAGTTAAAGGTACTTTTATTTTATCTGGAATTCTCCATGAGAAGAGAGGATTGCATTAATACAGATGATTCGGCTGGTTGTCGGGGGGTGGGGGGTGGGGGGGGGTGTCCATTACCAAAGGAATCTTAAAGTTATTTTTCTTTACAAAGACGTAGCCCATACGATTTCATGTATCTAGTCTTGTTTCACAAAAATACCATCGCTATATTTTTTTCCAGTTACGGTTTACTCTGTTGAGAAAGAAAATGACAGTAAATATTGTACATACATACTCGTAGAAAATATATTACTTTAAGTCGAATTTAAAATATGCTTACAAACTTAAGATTTTTGACAATGCTGGTTTTATGGTTCCATGCTGCTCATTCTTTCAAAAAAAAATCTTTAAATGTTCTTTCAAGAATTTTTTACTCATATTGAGACCCAAATATTTGTTGATGTTGAGTTGCAAATTCAGGAAGTGTAATCGGTACAGGGGGTTGGCAGTGTGAGATATATTTTTTGACAAAACATGCTAAAACACAAGGCCTCACTTTATAAGGAGTCACAGGTTCCTCCATCCTTTTAAATCTAATTGCGGCGCAAAACGCAATCAAAATGTTAGTATTTGCAGTCTTTTCGCGACCGAATAGGTGATTTAAAATTAAAATGAATTCAAAACACATAGCTTTTCTTAATAACAAGATTATGAAGCAAATTCAATAATTATTTTACAAATTTATATATAACTTTAATGATGGTTTAAAACAATTAATGGATATCGAATTCAACATAGTGAAAAAGAAGAAGAACGTTTCTTCTATATTTTAAGTGCCTTTTGACCCTACTCGCTTTCCTCCTCCAATACACTTACCTTCAAACATATTTACATTTGAAAAATAATCTGAGAAAATGTGCTGTAATTATTACAAGTTTTATGCGTTTAACCTGACTTTTACAAAAAAAATATTATTTTCAGAAATGCAAATTATTAATATTTGATGTTAGGTAACACGTGCACAATCCGCCTACCATCCAATAGTATTTATTTGCAAATGTGGTCTCCGATGACCGAGGTATCTTGAAAATTGAAAGTAACAAAAATGATACTTGGAGTCATAGAATACTACTTCGATAGATTTTTCTTCAAATTTTCAGCTTCTCATAAGTATATGATTTCGATATATGTTCGATGTTTGACATTCAGTTTCGAACCAAATATCAGAGATTTGGTCATTTTCAATAAAACTAAGTTGTTTTAAACATACATTTTAAATCATTATCAATTACCAGGAAATGTAAAAAAAAAAATGCGTGATTTGTCTCCTTTTATTCATGCTTAAAGTCAAGCGAGGTCTAGAATAAAATTGATTGAGCAAGCAAAACAGGGGGCACTTATTAAATAATTACAGTAAAATAACGGATAAGCATGGTCGATTTCACTAAATCCATGAAATTTTAAAAATTAGGTAAAACATTATTTGCAGTTAACGGGAAGTGTGAAAAAAAATGATTTTTTTCTTTTCATCCATGTGCAAAGCCAAAAAAGCTTAAAGAAAATAAAATTTATTGAGCAAGCAAAACAATCATGGAATCATATACTTATCATTTGTACAGGGCAATCTGGCAATGACCCAAAGGAACAAGGTCAAGATTATAACGGATATCCAAGTCTAGATTAATTTATTTCTTGTATATTCGTCTATTATGTAACTGCACACCCAGAATGCGCAACTGCCCTATTAAAGTATATGCACACAATCCTTTTAGGTGCTAGTAAGTCATTTGGACTTGGTTGGCGTGATTACGATATCCAATTTCGTCTAAGAAAAGGGCAGAACCCCAAAATTTCTTTTGCTAACGTCGACCAGGAATTATGGTTGTTGTATATGCAGCCCCCCTCCCCCAGAGTTTTTGTCAAAAAAGACCATGTTTTTATAAGCATCTATGCATGCGTTGTTCACTCAACCACCTGTTTATTAAAAGTTCGTTAAATTTATCTGCAATCGTTTCAGCTTTAAGCCCACGGTTCAACAGTCATCTGGACGGGCCTACCCGGCAACAGCCACAAACTATGCAAGACCAGTGCAGCCATTTTTGACATAAGTAACAGAGATAAAGAACTGTCAGGCCTTTGTCGCTGCAAGAAACAATTATACAATTGCAAACCCATTACCAAGGATATACTTCACAAAATCCTCGACAGGCTTCCGGTAGTTTGTCCATTACACTATGCGGCTACTCTTTTCACCACTATTTTCACAGCTGCATTTTTTGGGTACTTTAGAATGGGGGAGCTTGTCCAAAATAGCTCTAGGGAAGAAGGACATGCTATTCAAATTCAGGATGTTAAGTATTCAAAATCAAGCGATAGCATTCAAATTTATCTTAGTCATTCAAAGACTGACCAAGAGGGCAAGGGTGCAATCCTAAACTTAATTTGTATAGGGGCAGCTACGGAAGCTTGAGTTCAAGGCAAGGTTGGGATCAGATCGCAAAAGGGGGCAGGTGGAAATCTAGATGTCTGTATTAATACATAAGGTGTTAACTAGAATAACCTGTTTTATTGGGTGTTAGTTTTTTATAACGGGTAAGACTAAATCATTTTTCAAGTCCTTAATAATGAATCATGCATGTCACTGTAGATCACAAGAGAATTTGGATTGTAGGATCCTCGATAGTTAAGCATGCCTTTTTGCATGCCCGCTCTTCCTCATTTAGGTCAAATCTTCAGTTAATTAGAAACAATGCTTCAGTATTTTGGCAAGGGAAGAGGGGTATGAAATGGAACCAAGTCTACACCAAAGTCCGGCCTCTATTGAAAATTTAGGACACTCCTCACTTTCTTGTAATATTCTGTGGGAGGGGGGGTGATATTGGACAAGATGGTAAGTGCGTAATGCTTCGCAATAGTATTAAAAGAGGTCTGATAAAAATACAGAAGCTGTTACCCAATGCTACATTACTCTGGTCGCAAGTCCTACCCAGGCTACATTGGCGTGGGGAAGTGGACCATTTAGCATTAGAGCGGACTAGAGTACGTCTAAATAGCTTTGTAGCAACTCAGATATGCATGTCCAAATCTCTTCAAAGACCAAGTTCACCTTAACGTCTTGGGCAATAGCCTGTTCCTTCATAGAATACAACAATCGTT